GGAGGAGGGACATGGGAGTAAGGGTGGGGTGATATTAGTAACGATTTGTGGATCTTTGATTATATTAATTCTTTTTTTTTGTTGTAAAGATTGATAACAAATGTCTGTGTTTATGGTTGTTATAGACTTATAGTTACATTTTTAAAAGAGCTGAGCTGTATTTGTCCTTGTTACATTTGCACAGTGCCAAGAGGTGTCTAGAGGATCCTAGAATTGTTGTATCTTTGTTGTATACGCATCTTTCAATGTCAAGGAAACGATTTGGTGATACAAGTTACTATGTATAATAAACTGGATTCTGGAATGCTGGTTTTTTTTATTTAGTTTACTTGTTTGGGATGAAGTTCTAGATTATTCTAATTAAGAGTTCTCTACTTTTTCTTCTCAAATATGATTTTCCCTCACGAGGGAAGAAGTCTAGTTTTTGTTCTAGAAAATGAAATAGGGTTTATAATGATAATTGGCGAGGAATGCTATCATTAGCATTTCAATTAGTTTTTGTTTGAAATGCTTCCCTGCTAGATTTGCATGGTTTCAGAAAGAATTATCTCCAATTTACTTCTACAACATGGAAGGGGAGTCTTGGAGCAACGGTAAAGTTGTCTCTGTGTAACCTATATATCACGGGTTCAAACCGTAGAATCAGCCAGTGCCACTAACCCTTGCATCAGGGTAGGATGCATACATCACGCCCCCTTATTGTGCGGCGGTTCTTGGACCGTGCGTGAACGGGGATGCTTTGTACACCGGGCTACCCTTTTTTTTTACTTGTTGAATGTGAAGGTTGTTAATGGCCATAAATGATAGAATTCGGCTTTTTATCTGGTGTGATGGTTTACCCTTCATTGGGGAAGACATCTTACTCTTGTTTTTGGAATTAAAATTAGGGTGTATGATGATGAGGAAGAGTGGTTTCGTTCAATTTTCTCGAATTCAAGTAAAGAAGATGCCATTAGGAATCAATATGAGTTCTTTGTACACAGAATGGGAGGGCCTCCTTTGTACTCACAGAGAAAAGGTAAGCAATGTTTCCTAAAGTCCTTATTTTCTACCCATACCAAGTTTCAAATTGCCAGTGGTTGTTACTAGTTACATCCTTTTTCTTTTGTGATGCACTTTTATGGTGACCTCAGTTCCTGAGACGGTTAATTTACTTTCTGTCATAACTTTCAAATTGAACCTTTAAAATCTTATGAAAATTGGAAACATGAAAGTTAACTAGATAACTTCTTGATAACTTTTTGTTTAACCTTTCTTTCTTTAATGTTATATTCTTGATAATTCAATATTTCATTTATATACACCAAGTTGGTGTCAAAATAATACGTATAAGCTGTGTAAGTGACTCCAACGGAGTCATCCACCGTTGTCTATTAAATTTGCCAACTATGAATACAATACAGTATTCTCTCCTTAGACCAGAAATGCAATTGGAGGATCTTTTAGTGCTTTGTATTCCTGAATGTCGGTAATCTTTCACCAACGGAAATTAGTTGCCATAGCAATTAGTTGAGCAATGGAGAAAGAAACTGCCAGCAAGGTAGCTTGAGAAATCCCATTTGGAGAGTTTAGAGTGCCTTTGTCTTGTTTGTAAGATTTTGGTGTAAGATATAGGATTTATAAACGGATGATCGCTTTTATGAAGGATTTGACCTTGAAACTATTTTTGATGGCTCTCTCACATCATCTTGGCGTGTTAATATCGCTTGTGATTTTTCAAAAGCAAAATATAACTAGGGAGAAGGAAAATAATGATAGGAAAAGAAAGTTGAAGAAAATATATGGGTGGAAACAAACATTAGTGATTCTTTCCGTCAGCACTAGAGCAGTTAAGACTTAAGAGTATATCGTGAAAAGTTCCTGTTTAATGATGACATTACTGGAGATTTCAGTCTGTTGATAAGTTTCCACTTCTTGATTTACTGATTAAGGTAACATTAAAGGAAGTTCTCCATGCTAGTCAATTCTCTTCCAAAAACGAGTTGTTTCCGATGCCATATCCAGCATTGGCAAGGGTAGGCTGTGGCTTGGGAGATAGAATATCCATTTCTTTTTTGTTTCATTTTTAGAGTAGAGGAAGAAACACGTGGAAGCTTTTCTTTGAATCGGTAGAAGCAGGTGAAAATTTGTTGTTGGAAATAAGGGAAAATATTTAAGAAGGGTTGGTCTAATGGAGCTCAGATTGACACTTCATCTCGCTTAGGCAGCACTTTGCGACAAACGCCAAAGTGCTAAGATGTATACATTAGGACGAGAGTAAACAGTAAATATAGTTTGCATGGCGATATATAAGTTGTTTTTCTAGAAGAATGTTATAGATGAATGGTCAGTGAGTAGGATAGAAAATGAAAAACTTAGTATAAACATGCGTCAAAACTTTAAATTTGCATCTTTCCATCTGAATCAACAATTTAATATGGTTTTGAACTTGGTGGATGTGGTTTTCACTTTATTTCTTTCACTTGATTGCTATTGTTTCTTTTTTAAAATTTCTTCCTCCACATAATTTTTTGTGGTGTTTAAAATTAATTTTTGTAACATTGCACACTTATTTTTATTGTTTTTTTCATCTACACCTTTCTTCACTAAAATGCGATCCTTAATTGTGCTTTGCTCTTAATGCTCCAACAGAATGTTCTCCCACGCATTTGCCTTCAACTACTGTAGAAATAATGAGGATAGGTTCTTGAGTCATATAACACACAACTAGTTTCTCCCTCTTTTATACAGTATCGCCATTGTTGCTGCTAACAAATGGCACCTCCAACCCACATCCAATTGTCTTTCTTAGCTGGAAGATAGTAACTAGCTTTGTTTGGATCCATCCTCATCTCTTCTAGTTTTCTTGTTCTTGTTGTCTTAGATCTTAAAATACATTTGCTATCACTCTTTCAAATAAAACAAGTTCTCTAGTCACACATAAATACTGCAAATAAACTATTTACCCAATCAGTCATTAGCACACTGCATTCTTATCTCCATGATGGTGGCTTTGAAGAGATTTGCTAAATTAGTACGATTAATCTTTTATGCCTAATAAATCTCCTCTGCCGCTGTGATAGGCTTATTCATTGGTTGATAGTTTTGGTCAGCAGTCTGTGTCATTTGGGTTTGAATGGATTATTCCACTTTTCTGCATCTGCCAAAACTGGAAAACTCTTCCCCTTCTGCTTAAAACATATTTTTGATTATTGTGAACACGAGAAAAGTGAACTACTTTAAGGGTGTGTTTAGTAAATGTTTTCCGGTCGGTTTAAATGTTTTGAAAAATATTTTTCCCATGAACTCATTTTCTTCTAATTGGGGAGGAGGAAAAACATTTTTTCCAAAACTCTGTGCACCTTCCCCACCCTATTCTCCACCCCCACCAACCACCCCGCCCACTTGTCCCCACCTCCACCCCATAGTGTTTGCCTAAATTATATATTTTTCAAAATAATATTTTCTACTCATTAATCAAACACTAGAAAATATTTTTCGAAAAGGTTTTCCACTCACCAATCAAACATGGAGAAAATAAGTGATAAAATCACTCATTTTCAAAGAAAACATTTTCCTTCGTACCAAACACCCTAAAAATTGATAAATATAAAAAATGGGAAAGCTTCTTATATTTTACTTCTTTTGGAGGAGACAGATTAAACCTGTAGTCTATGTGGTTATTGGACTTTGTGGAAATTAAGCATTCTCCTTGGGACAGGTAGGAAGGGTATGAACAAACAGCCTCCAACTGCTCAGTATTCATTCTAGTTCAGGTGATAATAGATATTTCAGGCTGAACAGCTAAATAATACTCCAGATTTTCTCCCTACCTTGAGATGATATGGGAATGTAATGTCAACAGACAACATGTATGGTTCTAATACTTTCTTTGGATGATTGAAGAAAAGTAAGTTGGAAGTAGAATTTCATTATTCACTTATATGAGTTGTGCTTCATGTAGTTTGAGAAACTGTAAGGACCTTTCACACTTGGACTTTCTGCAGGGCATCCAGCATTGATTGGTCGCCACCGTCCATTTCCAGTCACTCATAAGGCTGCAGAAAGATGGTTACACCATATGCAACTAGCACTGGACAGTGCTACAGACATTGATGAAGATTCCAAAATTAAAATGATGAACTTTTTCAGGTACAAGCTAATCTCATTGATCTTCCCTTACTAAGTCTACTTTTGCAGATAGTAACGCATTTGTAAGAATTACATTTATTTGCTTTTCAGGCACACGGCATTCTTTCTGGTAGCTGGAGATGAGTTGAAGAATCAAAACCAGGCTGTTGCATGTAAGCATGCTTCCAATAAGCCAGCTGCAGCATGAACTTATACCAAAATTGATCAAAGAATTAACAATAATGTACACTGAATATTTTCCTTATGATCATTCAATCAATCAGATTTGAGAATATATGTTCTCAATTCTAGAGGTATGAGCATATCTAGCTGAAAATGACATACAAAGATTATCAGGCTCTACCTTTTCTGACCCTTCATCAAAATTCTGCATATATGTTTCTGCATCATATACACAACCAGAAGAAGAACAACTACTATTATTATTGAAGCTTTTTTTCTTGTGCATTTTGAGTCTCCTCCAAAAAGCTAGCCACTTAGGTGAAGAAGAAGCACATGATTCTCTTTGATTGTAATCTTTCCCAAGCCTAACACTTATGCTTCTTGTTTTGTTCCAATTCCCTTTCCCAATTATCCCCATTGTTTTCTCCTCAATAGCTTTGAGATTTGCATATAATTCAACAAACCTTTGGCCTTTTATAGATATAGGCAACTTTTGAGACTCATCTCATGGGATGTTCATTCCCTTTGCCTTTTGATTAGACAAAAGCGAATTAAACTAGTGGTGGAGAGACATTCTAACAGTGTATTATGCCTAAAATTCTAAAAGGATATTACTTTTTTTTTAAGGTATACCATACCATGTCATGTCAATCTTTTTAGATATACCAAAGGATATAACTAACGTATAGGTGGTTTAGATATTTCGTCCAATCACGTGGCTGATTAAGTATAACGAATGGATTAGTATCATAAACTGAAACGCAAAAGCAAAAAACAGTAGAAAGAGTGAGGTAATTCCGGCAGTTATACACCAGTATTAAAGACAAATAATATGATACTCTCTCCAGTCAATATTCCTTGTCTTTTAAATTTTTCATATTTGCTTACAAAAAGATATATAATAACTTTAATTATGAGATGCTTTGTTAAAACTCTCTTTTATCTCTCTGTTATAATCTCATTTAATTAATGCTCCAATAATTGAGACAATAAGGATAGATTTAGAAAAAAAAATTAGTGGTATTAAATAACTTATTATTTTCTAAAACGTTAAGTATTTTAAAATAAATTTAGTTTGTCAAAATGACTAATATTGAGGACCAGAAAGAGTATATGTTTAATAATTAAAGAATGGAATGCCAAATTAAAAAGAAAGGGTACATATATTGCATCACAAGAAACAAGATGTAATTAAGATGGTCGAAGATTAGTCTCGCTGGTAGTCCACCTTAGGTATTTTCAGAATAATTGCTTGGTAAGATGTCCTTTTATGATATTACACAATTTATCTAACTAGGAAAGTGATTGCAAAATATACATATGATTTCATAGTTTAGCATCGCAAAAGTAGGATTAATTGATGAAGAGGGTTTCATCTGACTAATTCCTAGAAAATTTCAACTAATAAATAAACAGTAAATGAATAAAGCATATCTATTTTTTTGGTTTCTCGACCTATTTAAAAGGAAAATATTTCTTATTAAGACCTTTTTCATTCCCATAGCCCCAACCCTTAATTTTTTATTTTTGTAATCCATATTAGACTTTGGTACGCTTGAGTGATGCAGATGTATTCGTTTCAATTGTATAAATTTCTTCTTCTATGTTTTACCAGTGTTACAATAAGAGTACAAATTTTATATTAGTTTAGATTAAATGCTTCCAGAATTAGGGGTGAACTTACCTTATTAGCTGTATAAAACGTTTGAACATTTTTCAATTTACGGATACAGTTTAAAGATAATACTATACATTAAAGTATGATATAGTATCTAAGAAGTGCACGAGGAGCATCTTCCTGCACAAGTTGACATAGATTATGACATCAATAACAAAAGTTCACTGAAATTTTGAATTATTATATATAGCAATTGAGCTTTACATTTTTCACTTTCCACTTTAACAGTATTGTTATATTTGTCATTTTATTTTGTATGACCACTTCTAATCCAAATTGACTAGATGAAAAGATGATCCAATATCATATTGTTTTTGGGGTTAATAAACGATGTTTAAAATTACAATATAGAAATTTGGCTCACTCAATACTCACTTCATTATGAGTACTCTTTTTAAAAGAAAAAAACATGTTAATTTAACTAGTTTTAAGTTGAAGCAAGATTTAGAGGTTGCTACTAAGCTTGGTGTCATAATTAGGAGCACCGAAACTAGTGGTCCAAAGAAACGTGGAAAGGTAATTAAAGACATTGAGCCGAAAGACTTCCTTCTTATTCAAATTTTTCACTTCACAAGACTATCATATTATTTCTCCTAACTTAGGACTAATTATTGCTAAACTTTTGCTTGAAACATGGGATATTCTTCTTCCTCACAAATTATGGTAAAAACACTTGCATTGGATGTTTACAGCAAGCTAATAAATACGAGATATATATCTTGTCTATATTTACCCCCAAATTACCTCCTTCCTTTAATTGTTTTAAAAATATACTCTTATCACCTTGGAAACACAATTGGCAAACTCGTGAAATTCGAAAATACCAAAACACCCTTGTTGATGATCTTTTACTTCGACATAATCTAAGATTACTCGAATAATTATAATATCTCACACAGGATATATAAATTCTTAACCCTTCACTCTCTTACTAAGACTGGCCAGAACCGAGTAATAAAATTACGAGTAATATTATTATTATTATTATTATTATTATTATTATTATTATTATTATTATTATTATTATTATTATTATTATTATTATTATTTCCTTTTTATGGCGAGTTGAATTGGTGGGACTTTCTACAACTTAGGAATTGGACTTTTCATCATACTAGTCAATAGGTACGTGCGTGCGTTGTGCGTGAACCATAACTTAACGAGTAAATTTTTTTTTAAAAAAAATTGCATATATATTATATGAAAATTTGTGTTTGAATAATAAAAGAAAAGTATATTTTCATGAAAAAGATGAATATTAATCTTATATAGCTAATTCAATAAAAAAAAATTATCATATAAAAGTCCTTAATCATCCGCTGATATGTTCAACTTAGAATTTATTTTGGTTTTATAATTTTATCACTTTAATTTCACAGGTCATTATGCTTCTTTTTCAGTTTCAATAAAAATACACAATCCTTGAAGATTTAAGATGGAAAATAATTAAAGTATGTTTTGAAGTACTATTAACTTAGAAGAAGCTTGCTTGAGAATCTGACATTACCTAAAAAATAACTATTAGTCTAAAATAAACAATTACTATCCGAAAAACTGTCACGACCCGGAATCTCCACCGTCGGGACTGTGATGGCACCTAACATTACAGTTGTTAGACAAGCCAACGTTAGAGGTTTATTAGCCAATTCTCTTACATTTAGGTGGTTATCAATAAACAAACTATAATAAGTCGAAATGAATACGAAAATATAAAAATAACATCTTTGAATATATACTATTACTACCCAGAATTCGGAGTCACAATTCACAAACATACTAAGATTTTACTACAAGTATTTGTCCGAAAGAAAAATATAACTGTTTGCGAAATAAGGGAAACAGTAAAGTATAGGGGCATAGGAGGGGATGCCAGGGCCTGCGGACGCCAACAAGACTACCTTGGGTTTCCTAGCAGTGAAGCCTACAACCAACCTCTCGATCAGCCCGAACCTGCTCCAAAATCTGCACAGGGAGTTCATAGTGCAGTATTAGTATAACCGACCCCATGTACTGGTAAGTGCCGAGCCTAACCTCGACGAAGGAGTGATGAGGCTACAACGGGACACTCACAATGTAATCTGCATACGGTATATAATAAAAGCAAAAAGGAAGACAGAATAAAGTAAAGCAATAACTTGCAAGAAATAAATACAGTACTCAAAGTATTTCATCAGTGTTCAGCTATTACCAATCCTTAAGTGCAAATTAAGACTACCGTACGGCTAACACAGTTAAGGAAAAGTATAAACATATAGATTGTTACGGTGCGCAATCCAATCCCACCGTACATATCATATTCCTCCCTTATTTCCTCTTAATAACATAAACATTAGAATATAAATAAAAGTGTTGCGGCGTGCAACCCGATCACACCATATCACAATAATCACAATCACAGTTCAACCTTATTTCACCACAATCCACCCTTATTACAGCTGTTGCGGCGTGCAACCCGATCCCACTATACAATATCCCTTATTCTTCCTCAATATATCACCCTTATTTCACCTGTTATGGCGCGTAACCCGATCTTACCATATCAGTATCAATTACTTAGTAAGTACAGAAATTTTACAATTCAACACAAAACACTTCACGATACTTAACTTCAAACCAAAGCAAATGGAAAGCTTGTACACTATGAACTTCACACAAGTAATACTACTCAGCGAGACCAATACAGAATATATCATAAAAGCACCAATAAAATAGCTTAAGCAAATAATAGGAGACAACGAAGCTACAGGATAACTAATACCTTCAACAAGGAGAAACAATGTCTAACAAGTAGCAATTAAGCATGGAAATACAAGTAAAACATGTAACAATTAAGGCAGGAAAAGAAACAATATAAGAAGAACGGGAAAGAAATAGGCAAAACAGATAACTTGGCGGCTCATAAGTACTCGTCACCTCACATATTCGCCGCTCACATGAATTTTATATAGCAAATAGGTCGAGGGTTCCTAATCCCTCAAGTCAAAGTTAGACACATCACTTACCTCGCTATACATGCCACTCAATGCTCAATTACCGCTTTTTCTCTAATATCCACCTCCAAACCACTCGTATCTAGCCACAATTAACTCAATAACATCAATTATTGCTAAAGGAATCAATTACAATGCATAAATTTTGATTTTCCAAACTTTTCCCCAAAAAATTAAAAATCGATCCCTGGCCTGCTTGGTCAAAACTCGAGGTTCGGACTAAAACCCATTCACCAATTCACCCCCGAACCCGTTTATAAAATTAGTTTTGAAATCCGACCTCAATTTGAGGTCTAAATCCCAATTTTTCAAAAATTCCTAATTCTACCCAAACCCCCAATTTCTACCATGAAAATCCTAGATTTTGGGTTAAAAATTCATGAAATGTGATGAAAAATTAAAAAAAAGTGGGTTAGGATCACTTACCAAAGTTTTGGGAAAGAATTGGTCTTGGAAGAATCGCCTCTAGTGTTTTAGGATTTGAAAAGTTGAGAAATGAACTAAAATCCCGTCCAAAAATCATATTGATCAGTTGCAAGTGTCGCATTTGCGATATGGGGTTCACAAATACGAGCCCCGCAAATACGAAGAACCTATCGCAAATGCGAAGGTCTCCCATTCCTACTACCTTCACAATTGCGAAGAAAATCTCGCAAATACGAGCCTGATCATTTCGCAAATGCGACCATTTGATCGCAAATTCGATCACTGCCTCCCCTCTTCCCAGTTCGCAAATGCGAAAACTATGAGGCTAGCTATTCTTCGCAAATGCGAGAAGTAGCTCGCAAATGCGGGACCTGCAGGGGTCGCAATTG